ATCTTATATAATATGATTTCCAAGTTAATTGATAATTAATTGGGTTTCATCCTTAACCTTGTGATTGTTTAATACTGTTGAACAACCGCACAACTGTCTCGACTTGCATGAATTCAAATACTATATATCATTAACCACATTGTTGTTTTTTATTCATATAATAAGAGTCAAATTTTTTGCTCATTTAAATCAAATAGACCATAAAATTCAAATTCACTTATCTATGTGAGTCAAACTTTCTACCCATTAAAGTCAAAAGAACATGTTATAGCTTGGAATATTTTGATGAAAATGTTTGTTCTTCCCTGAATTTTTCAAAAACTACGTTTCTTGAAGTTCCATTAATGGTAGTTACAATAAAGAATGTCAAGTTTTTTCTCGACAGATCTTTTGAATTGCAGCTTATACGTCACCATATAAAAAAAAAATATATATATTATTCCATTGCCATTTTCACGACAGACCACGACAGACCATCAATATGCTAGTATATTTGCTTTTAGTTTATTAATTTGAGGTATAGTTTAATTGTTTGATGATTAGATTTAACAATATTATATTATAATATATTTTGTCCACCTTTTATTTTTATCTACTTTATTTTTCTTACAATCTCCATTTATAGTTACATTTTAATCTCTCACTACTTCATATCAATTTGTCTTCTATGAATCTCGCAGGAAAAAAAAATCAAACTATGAAAATATCAAGAAATATACAAGAAAACAAAAGTTATAAAAAATGTCTATACTAATATTTATTTGTCTTCTCCTAATATTAATCAATTTATCAAACAATCTGTAGTAAGGGCGCCAAAAACTTGTTCGCTAACTGTTTTCACTATACGCAAGTGTACGATATAACTATACAACCTATAGGTATGGCGAATAAGGTCGTATTCCACGGAGATGTTTATATGTGAGTATTACCCCGTTGGGTCGGCTCTAGGCGGTCATTTGACTGTCCTCCCACTTTATTCAGCTATTAGCTGTTTGTATTCAGCTGATGGATGTACCTTTGTACATTGTGTGGTTTATATATAATATCTCTATCGTTTCAGAAAATATATATATATATATATATATATATATATATATATATATATTATCTAGGCTAACTCAAACTAAAGAGACTGATTATGAACCAATAAATTAAACTAAGAACTAATTTATCTAAGAAATACAAACATGTGAATAATTAGAACAAAGAATGAATAATGACATAGATTTTAAGTTATGCTTTCCTCGAAATTAATTCATGAAACATTTAAATTCACCTAAACCTTATATAATTTTATCAATAGTAGAGATAGTCGTCAAATTAATTTAATATTTCTTTGGAACAAGTTAACTTGTAGATTAATTTATATTTATCTCATCCTGGTCTCAATATGAATAACTAGCTTCGTAAGTTCCTAGATTTTTCGTTATATGGTAAGATCCTATCAATCTCGCGGTCTATTTATTCTTATATTTTATAAAATCAGCAACTCTACCAATCTATTATCTCATCTCGATCTAAAATGATTCACAATTATGCATTCATAGTGATAATTATCTACTCATACAATTAAAATAAGTGCAAGGAAATCATAAACAAAAGATAAACTGGAATGAGTCGAATATTTTTTTTTTATTATTATAGATCAATTTGAGTACTGAGAAATTGTAGAATCTAAAATAAATTTAGCTCAAGAACATGCTTATAAAATCTAGAAAATAAATGTAAAACACCGAGTTTCGAATAAGAGAAGAAAAAGAAAGAAAAAACTATTCGGCTTCGTCGTTCTCTTCTTCGTGACTTTCTCGTTTGTCTTTTGTGTGTTCCTAGCCTCCAAAGATGTCCGAAACTATTAAAAAACTCTAGCAAAAATGTGCCCTAATATTTTTTACTAGTCGAGGTCGAGTCCTTGTCAAAATAGGTCGAAAACTAATCGAGAAAAGGTAAAAATGCGTCAAACACGGTCAACCCACGCCCAGGTGCCACACGAGACATGTGTCATGTCACATGACCCACAAGACTCGTGTGAAAATTTCTAGTGTTCATTCTTCGAACATTCAGAACACACGACTCGTTTCGGTTGACACGACTCGTGTGGATTGAAACTTTGTTTTCAGAGCGTATTTCAGCTCATGGGTGGTTTTAAGGCATCTCAGGCGGCCTCCTGTGGCCGGACGTGCCTTCCAAATGGCCGTACATGGCGGTTTCCATTCATGGACGGCGACTTTCTTCCGGAGACGAGGTGGCGCGCGAAAGATTTTTCCGGAGAGAACATGGCCTTTTTTTTTTTTTATCGAACGTCTCTGCAGATCATAGAGGCGGCGTTTAATTCATTCCTTGTTAAATTACCAACATGCCCTTGACTTAATTTATTTGTTGGGTTGAGCTTCAACATAAGTTGGCTGCTTTCATTTCTTGTGGGTTTGTAATTGGGCTATAAAACTCAAATGGGTGCTCATTTAACACAAAATTTCATGGGGCACCGTGTTTGGGCTCATCCCAATGCATGGTCAACATTCCGTTTTCATAAGTTTCGTGTTATTTTCGACTCCAATAATTAGTTTGACCCAATTTTATATTAAAACTCTAAATAATACACCTCTATCATAGTTTGATAAAATTATTTAAAAATAATAAAAAATATGTCAAACTACGACAAAAAAGACACAAACATATCTTTAAAATACACGTAAAAATATCGTATGATAATAATTTAAGTATTTTAATTAAAACGATTACATATAATAGATGGTGACAATATTTTTAGAAAAAAATTGAAAAGTAGTCCAACAACTACAGAAGTGTATCAAAAGTAGTCAAATACAGTTGATGAGTTGATTCACTCAATTTTTAAAACTTATTACAACTAGGATAATTTTTTGGGTAATTCTATGTTTTCCGTCATACATGACACATCATGTCTACCTATCACGTTAATTGACATGCCAATTGACGTAGTTCTTAAATAATTTCAAATGCAATCTCATAAATCTGCAGATGTTTTAGAAGTAAATGAAATTCGATTAATAAATCATAATCTCATAAATCTTAAAAAATAGATTGTTTTGAAGTTAACAAAATATTAATTTGGAGCATTTACAGTAGCTTAGGCTGGAAAATAAAAACTTTCCGAGCTGCTTAGCTTATATATATATATATATACTAGTAGGGTTAAGGTTACGCCGTGCACGCACGGCGGACTCAAAATTAGCCTAGAAATATCGTGAAATTTTGTCAGTAGTTACATTGCATTGATCAGTTGAATTTCTGTTGAATCTTAATACTGGATGATAACCAAATAAGCTTTCACTATAATGACCTCATAATACAACTTTCTAGGCAATTGTTGTACTTCAGTTGTTGCAGCTCGTACAAATATTATGCCTGGTAAGTTAACATTGTTTGAAATGTTTACCAATTGAGAAGATCCAATTGTGTCTTTTTTTACTTATAATTGGTGGAATTATTCCAATTCAAAGTAACGTTGCATCTGCCATTGGAACCCAATGTCTGTTTGGGACTCAATTCTTGTTGTATCAAGGAAGATAAGTAGCTAAATATAATAGCATAATCACAGCACAAAATTAACCTAATTTTATAGAGGAAATTGCATCCCATACTTCAGCATAGTTATTATATTATAATTTTACAACCCTTAGATAAATATTTATGTAATTACTACAATAAGCCTAAAATATTGCTAATATACCTAAACTCTTAATTAAGGAGTTATATCATATAATTAATGGGTTACAGATTTTACGGCAATTATCTAAAACCGCTGCCCACGTTCATCTCATCTCACGCGATACTCAGAAAACAAAAATCTCCTTCATAAAGAAAAAACTTCCTCAGTTTCCAAACCTCTTTCAATGGCGAAAACAAAAATCATACGCGATCCTTGAAAAAAACCGGCGAACAAAGGAGATGGAACACCACAGATAAGGTCAAGTTCCCGACTTCATAAGATCGTTTCAAAATCAAAACCAAAACTCATTCAGAAGAAGCTCGTTTTTGAGAGAAAAACGAACCCTAACCCTAATCGCAAGCCCACCGGCAACATTAACAGGAAGACGTTCGACAGTATGTAATAGTTAAAAATTTTCAGTATATTATCAGTATATTTTCGGTATATTCTGCCGTTAAAGATTTAAAGTCAGGGTTTATATTCAGTATATTTTCGGTATATTCTCAAAGCTGTTCATATTATTTTGGAGATATAATCATTCCATACATGAACCAGATTTTTTCTGTATTGTGGTATATGTACAGTTTATGTTAGAATGTAAAGTATATGTACAGATATAATCATTCCATACACATGTCGATTAAAAATTTTCAGTATATTGTCAGTATATTTTCGGTATATTTTCTCATGACATTAACAGGAACACGTTCGACAGTATATTATCAGTATATTTTCGGTATATTCTCACGTTCGACACCCCACGTTTTTTTTTTTTTTATGATTAAGAAGAGTTGGTCTCATTTTTTTTAAGATAAGATATATCATAAAAACTCTAAATATACTTAGCTAAATATGGATAGCCGAGAGGAAATAGTGAAGAGCGAGAGCAACCGGAAGTTTTAAGGTGCTCGGTAAAAAAAAAAAAAAAAAAAAAAGACAGAGACTGGGATCAGATTCAGCCAAAATCATAGCACACATCATGCACAAATTTTATGTTTCCGTCGAAGAAAAAAAACCCTTAGTTGCCCAACCCCATGTCATAAATCCGACACATTACATAAAAGTCGAAGCTTTCCCACAACAAACGACAATGAAAGGAAAAAGAGGACGTGGTTCTTATAAACCCAATTGGATTCTTAACACAACACACTTCAAAAGAGTGAATTGAACAAAAAAATATTCTTGCAAAAGAAAAAAAAAAAGAAATCAGTTTCAGACACCAAGAAAAGCAAATAGAACACGTGGAGAAATGAAAATATTCAAAAGAAGCAACTGCAGCCGCACAAAAGAGATCAGAATATTAGATCATGAACTAAACCCAGGAAAGAAACCCAAATTCATAGTCCCTACAGCATAAAGAAAAAGAAAAAAAAAACTTTAACGCATAAATTTTTCTTACCTCCTTAACAAACCATGGAAATGACACCCGAAAATTTTTTTGCTTAAATTGTTCATAATAATATGCATATGGAATCTACTTTATCCATCTGACAAGGTACCAAGAAACCGATTGAGGACTGTAATGGTGGAGTGGAAGCCCGAATTATGCGGTTGAGTAGCAGAGCCTGTGGGCCCACCATCAGGCGAAGGCAAATTCGTCCTGCCTCCATCAGCTCCAGGTTAAATTTATATACTGAAGCAGCCAGTGGAGGTAACACAACAAACAACTCACCTATTACTTTCCCAGACCGGCTACCCTCAAGGTGCGCGCAGGCCCACCTCAAGGTCGAGGAGGAACTCCGGGCAACTGATTCATTTGCTTTGGCAATATGACAAAAGAGTGGTCCGTCCAATTGAGCTTACAACACTACCAGTCCCAAGGATTGAAGAACCTTGCATTCCTGCAGAAATAGGTGAAAATGTAAAGGATAAGATAACGAACAAAACTTGTATTGGAGTTCAGTGCACCTAAAACCATGGTACAACAATTGATTTACGGTAACAATACATCACTTGAGGGTGGAAATATATTGCTATATTGAAAGAAATAAAGAAAATAATGCTTCAGCGTCTGCTTCTCCAAATATAAAATCACAATTGACACCCACACAGAAGATCACAAAGACAACAATATTCACAAACAACTATCTCAAAATGCAATTCACACTTGGCCTGATGACTTTCCTTACCATGACCAGGCAATGCTAAATCACACTCTTCAACCAAAAAAAAGGCAAGGCAACAACATGAAGATAAGTGAGATAGAAGGAACAATAAATGGTTAAAAAAGCTACCCGATCAGGACCACTGAGAAGACCAAGCCCTACAGCATTGGTAACAACTGCAACGAGCTGAGGGCCAAATATATCGGGCCCTAATGACGCCTGAACTATGCCATACTCAAATCCCAAAATTCCTCTCCAGCCCATCTCTCTATGTCTCTTTCATAGAAAAAACCAAATCTTTAGCAGCATATATATACATATATATATATATATATATATATATATATATATATATATACTTTGAAAAGCATCAGGGAAAAAAATTGAAATTCAGGCTTTGGGGCCAGTCGAATAGAAATGGAATTTGAATATCCTCTTACTCCTGATTCGAAATCATTACAGTGAGCCATGGCGTAGGCCTGATGACGTATGTTGCCATTTTCGCCATTGGCAACCGCTAGTACAGAATAAGCTGGTGCTAACTTATTGGAGCTCATAAGCTCTTATAAAGTATGTTTATACATCCATCTACTACCCTCATCTGAAAAATATTGAGCAACAAAGTTGCAAACTTAAAGGCTGTTAAAAGTCTTGTAAGATATGTGTTTGAGGACCCTATAAGTGTACTTAGGTTAAGCTTGGAAGCAATATAGAAAATCGTTCAGTATCTAAAATGTGTGAATGGAGAATCCACAAACATAATTACAGCAAAACAAACAAGAACATATTCACAAGAAAGGTAAATTGTTAAAGAAAAACCCTAATACTGTCATAATGACAAAAATGAGATAAAGTTTAGCTAGAGCACTTACAAGCAACACAACGTCGTTTGTTAACTTTTGCCAATTGGCACTATTTAAACAAAATTAAATGAAAAAACAAAGGAAAAGAGAATATCACAACTGCTCATCAACAAGTGGAAAATCTGTAGGAAGCTGTAGTTTTCCTGGGAGGTATCTGCAACATCAATGGTGGAAACACAAGATATGTCAGACTAACTTATGAAGCAGCACAAAAGATTAAGTGACAAATAAAGATCAGCTTCTAATGTGTTACTTACAATCGCAGTTGATTATCCTAGTATAACCTTTAACAAGCAACATAATCCATGCTATAACTTGAATTGCTATTTAAGCTGATGAAGCAGTAAACCGAAAATGTTTAATGCCTGATGTACACATATGCAGCAAATCTTACATGTTATCTTATTGCTTGAAGAAGTACCATAGCAAAGCTAGTTGATGCCAGCTTGTGAGTAATAAAATAGCAAACTTACTCAGATCATATCGCTCGCATTTTTGGCTTTTCATCATTTCGGCCCGTCTGCGACTGGAGAATTGGTGTTCATCATCTGCATCCAGAACCCTTAATAATTTCCATTATCAAAGCCAGTCACTTGTTTGGAGTAGCATACCAAAATAATAATAAAAAAATGTAATGTTTGCAACAATAGAAGTCTGAAAGCTTGTAACAGGTTAAGGAATTCATAGAAGATACCTACAAATCATAATCGAAGCTCAAAGCAATATAACGAAATAGACAATAAAAAATGCATATTTCTGTGGACTCCAGATGAAAGAACAAAGGATATATTAGCTGGAAGTATTGGCCAGCAAATTTCTCTCAGCCAGGCTCCTACATGGAATGAAGCTTTGTATGCATATGTAGACAACAACAAATCTGAAATTTGTAACCAAAAAATGAAGGGAAAAATTTATTAAAAGGGGTTAAAGAGAGAAAAATATACGCACTTGAGTATATCTAAAAGTAGAATTAGGCGCAGAGAAAAGAGAAAGAGGAGACGGAGTTCAAGGTATTACCGGACAACATCGCGCTGTGCGTCAACTGCGGGGTCGCAAAATCACGCCTCCGCCGCCTCCAGGATCCTATGCCAGAAATGCTTCAATTCGGTGAAGAGTCGCGCCGCCGCCGTGGATAGATCCTTCAGATCCAGTCCGCCCGCGAGGTTTTCGATGGAGGGGAGGTTGGATTTTCCCCCGGTGAGCGGAGATCCGGAGAAGGAGGCGTTGGTTGAGTCTGCGGCCTAGGGCTTCGAAGAGGCGGTCTGCACCTACACTTACGAAGGGCGTGGTGGAAGAGAGAGTTCATCACCCGCGTTTAACTCTCATTAAGAGGATATGAGAATTGAGGAGAGAAAATGAAGGACAACATTTGTTTTGTGTCTGAAATCGTGGTGGGATGTGATAGGATATGAGAATTGAGGAGAGAAAATGAAGGACAACATTTGTTTTGTGTCTGAAATCGTGGTGGGATGTGATGCTTGCGTGTTTGAAGAAAGCTTGTACGTGAAAAAAATACAGAAACGTGACAGCCGAAAAACAGGCCAAAGTAGAAAGCAAAAAGGCGTCTCTGCAAAAGTCAGAGAGTAAGTTACGGAAAAAACACAAAGAAATTTATTGGAACACAACAAAAACAAGGGTAAATAAGGCATAGAAAATGGCCCAACAGAAAACGTCCATAAGGAACGAAAAACAAAGGTAGAACCCAATGGCATAAAAATAATAATGTGTGGGAATTGTGGACACGTGTCGACCAGCGAAAGTGTCGAAAATGGACACATGTCAACACCATAAACGGTCTCACTCCTTCATATATAGATAAGAGAGATATATATAGAATGTCTGGATAATATCCACAAATAGTCCATTTTATGAGCCGTGGACTAAAATGGGGCTCGTCTTCCTTTTCTTATCACCAAAATTTGGAAGGCAACATCGTATAGCCTTATCCAGCTCATCATCGACTCCCATAAATTTATCTGGAGTTTTTGATTTATAATCTTCAACACCATTGGTAAACTCGTGATTATGCGATAAATGTTCGCATAATTTACGACTCACATATCCAAATCTATAACGCCATATAATTAACGATTATGCATAATATGTTCGCATATTTAAGAATCGTACATCAAAATCGAAAGCCGCATAATTTTGGACTATCAACCTTTTTTTCGTTGATCCATATCATATAATGCATATCCGAAGAAAATGTTTCACATATTATTCGCATAGTTTACGCACCGCATTGATTGTCTGATTTTTCTCATAAAAAACTTAGACATATGGCATGTACCTACATTAGTTGTCAATGCATATGTACCATCATTATTACTGCTCATAAATTGTAAGATTTAGTGGCTAACCTTTCACTTCTCGAAACCAAAAATAAATAAAAAAATAAACACTAGCAATAGTAAAATCCTTATATTCTGATCGCAGCAAAAAAAAAAAAAAAAAATAAAAAAAAAAAAAAAAATCATTAGCCACATTTGCTTAAAAGAAATGGATAGGATTTCACGCAATATGCATATCACGATCCGCTTTCGTGGCGTGAAGTGGACCGAGGGTGAGGAAGATGCTTGCTACCGAGTGTTTTTCAGAAAGTGTTGTGAGAGGACAGACATACACCGTTCACTTATGGCCAAAAATTGCACGTTCTCTGAACCGCACACTGAGTTATACCTTGAAGAATGAGTATTCTATTGCCCAAGTTCGGAGAAAGATTCAGTGGCTCAAAAATCATTTCGATAAACTTTCAAGTTTCCTGTTGATTTCCAAGAGTCCGAGTGCATGGTGATGCTGGCCTTGTTAGTGTAAACTACATGTACTGGTTGTATGTGGGTGAGGTAAAATAGTTTTTATTTTAGTTTGTTCATGCATTTTGCAACGTGGTCATAACCCCAAAAAGTTTCAAATTTAATATACATGAGGAGACAAAAGCTCAGGCATTTTTCCATTGGTACGGATTCCTATAGTATCGTGAGTGTTACGAGGTTTTAACCGAGCACAATGTAGCAACAATCGACTTAGAAGGCGGGCCTAGTGCTTCGATTGACGGCCCAATCTGAGGGAAAAACATAAACGATGTTGACACTGACGATGATGGTGATGATCAGATCCATCAGCCACCATCGCAGATGGAAGTTATCGATCTCGACCTTGAGAATCCACCGAAATAAATTGGAAAACCACATGTAAATCAATTTACGTTGCTTGTGTTATTTTGTTGGACTTTGTGGGACGGCAACAATAACAATTTTTTTTTTCTTCTGTCAAGTATGTGTTTAATCAAGATTCATGAATTAAAAAAAATATTTTGCATGGATAATAAACTATTAATGTCCGACAACATAAATTTTCAGCAAAATTAGCGACAATATTTGAAGGGAAAATTTTTAAATGATATGAATTTTGAAGAACTGCGAAACAAGTATGATAAATCTTATAGTGTGTAATGAAAAAATAAATAAAAGTAAACGACATCACAAAACTGCAAATAATATGCAGGGTATATCAGAATGAAAAAACAAATCAATATAGTAAATGATATTTGTAATCGCATATGCAGATCAACCGCATAGTTTATGACTCGCATATCCAAATCTATAATGTCGATTCACAAATCTCATATCCAAATCGAACGTCAAATAATTTACGACAACCAACCAATTTTTTTTTTTTTTTTTTTTTTTTTGCATCCTTATAACAACCTCGCATAATTAATCTATATGCCAACATGTTCCAAATATTATTCGCATATTACTGACGGTTGTCGAAACCAACAATAAAAAATTCCTACTTGTCTAAATTATAAAATTGTAGTAGCAATGAGTAGGGTCGTGTCCACAGAGATTGGATGAAATGAGTCGATGCAACTATTTCGTGAAGGAATAATAAAGAATAAAAAAAGATGGGGGTTTTGAAATGTTCAATCTACCTAAAAATAATTAAAAATTCAATTCAAGATTGAATTAGAGTAAATCACGAAGATAAAATATCCAACCAAAGGAAAAAATTCGTAGAAATGGTTCAATGATTCGATCATAGATGCAAAGATAATTCTCCTACTCTCAATTAAACTGGTTATGGTTATTGGTACGACCTAATAACCTATCATTCCTTACTTGTTCGATAATCAGGATACAATCTCTAATTATTTCTCTAATCGACAACAGTATCATACGATTTAATCTATCAACAACAATAAAATCTAGAAGGACCACCAATTGCAGCCAACAAATACACATGTAGGATCATTTAGACTAGATCATAAATCTCCCTGAACATAAAATCAAAAACACTTAGTAATCAACTATGTTCTTCGCCACCAATACTAGAACAATCAAACAATTACGGATTTAATGTCGTAATTGGCAATATACTATTCCGATAATTGAACAAAGAGCTCTTTTTGCATCAATCAAACAAAATAACAATTGATAATAAACACAAGAGACATACGAATAAAAGAGAATATGGAATTGAAAATTCAATTAGATCTCTCAAATCATGTAGAACCAAATCATGAATAATCCTTTGGCTGGAAAAATAATTTAGCTATCCATAAACATGGTAGTCTTCTTCATAATATTCATCCAAAAATAATAAAGACAGTAGAAATAAAATAAACTGCAGAAGAATTCTTGTATCTGTCATGCGTCGTGCGTCCGTGAATTTATCTGGCAGATCCGGCAGAACAGATGAAAAATAAAAGTCGTACCGAATAGAAGAGAAAGAGAGAGAAAGAGATAGAGAGGAGAGAGAAATTAATACCTAGCAGTCTGATTTAATTATCAGTCAAATCCTAATCCTAATTCTAAAAGAAATACGTAAAAAATAATCTTCTCTCTCCAAAAATATCCTAATATATTAAAATAGTCTATAAATAAATAAAAACTCCTTATATTCTATTATTTCTCTTTCCAACTCAAGATTCCTTCCCTTTTTTAATTCTTGTAGGAAATTAGCGTGCTCACGCCTTAGCTCAAATTCGTCTCTTTTGCCCTCCAATCATCATAAAATTTCAAATCCCGAGATATCCTACATAAATTATAAAATTCTATTAACATCAATAAATAAGCTCAAATAAACACCGAAAAAGTATGGAAAACATGACAATTAACCTGCCAAGAATACAACTTATCAATTACGCACCGCATTGACTGATTGCTTNCAAGATGTGGAACGTTTTTTTTTTCCTACCTAAATTTACTACCATTAATTTTTCATTCCTTTTGTTCAAACTTTTAAATCTACTGCATGTATTTTTTTTTTCAACTTAATTCTTTTTGTGTTGAACTTATTTGGATCTTATTTTTCTTTCTTTTTAAGATTACATTTCAATGCAATATTATAAAGTTGTTTAAAAATAAAGTACTCCCAATATTTACGTCGAGTTGGAGCATCGACTGAAAACAATAGAGATTTTGTGGCCGGGGCAACAAAGCTTCACGCAATTAGTGGAATGCCATGGTGCATTTCTGAGTTGTTTAGGTGTTGTAGTTCTTTATACTCGCACGAGGGCTAACACTCATATCAAGCATACGATTCTTTTACTAGGACCGCTGATAATCAAACCGCAATTTATTTAGATGTGGACCGCTAATAATTATTTTGTAGTATTTTGTGGGATAGTTGGTAACCGAGTTACCCGGACTCGGGTTGTTTCTCTTAGGAAGACTATTCGGAGCTTTGTTCGCTAATTAATTGCCTAAAACACACAAAGGTCAAATAAATTCCTAAATATTCTAACCAAGGAGAATGAGACGATATTAAACTAATTAGACTAAGAAATTAGAGTAATGAAAAGCAAGCAAATAAAACTAGAGCTATTTCTCTCGATTTATGCATGTTATCCTTGTGCAAGGGCCATGCTAATTTTCTCTGTATCGTTTCAATTTTATCAGATGTCCTCGAAGGGACAAGTGAAACAAGAGCTTTTTTTTTTTTTTTTTTTTNAACTTAAAAACTCAAAAGAGTACACCCGAAGTGTCAAATGACACACTGGAACCAGAAAACTGGACCAACCCCCCTTGTCATCACACACAAGGGGGTACAAACTCCATAAAGGAGGCGAACAACCACAACACAAAAACAAAAACACAAACTCCATAAAGGAGAGAAAAGCAGACTCAGCTGCACTCAAAGCAGACGAAGCTGCACTAAACAAACCAAAACAACAAAATAAAAGAAAAAGACAACTCACACCTAATAAACAAATAAAATAAGACCTCCCCTAATCCAAACACGCGAGCTAGACGACTACCTAGCCGACCCTCGAGGCCCCACACCACAGCTAAAGGCACAACAAATCCACAAATCTAAAGCCCGAACCCAAAAACTGCGGATAACCGCCTAGACAGATCCGGCGAGGAGGCCGTTCTCACTCCAGATCTGGGCTCCGAAAGACTTCAGCGTCGGCGAACAAAGGAGGATCCGCCACGAACACACTGGAGAGCTCGAAAATAAAACCAGAGGAAGGACCACCCACGGCCGAACCCGGATGAGCACCAACAGCCCGGCCACACGGCGGACGGGCGGGCTGCGGCCTACTTGGAGAAATTCTAACCATAGCCGGGCATCCACTCCCTTCCTACAGGCTTCACGGTGACAGTGCAAGAGTTTTATTCCGGCGGCAACCTCTACGGCTGGATCTAGAAAGCGGCGGCGGTGCCCCCTTCGCGGCTGTGGACACCGAACGACGAGACCCGCCACCTATCGGGTCTCCCGTCAAGCTCTGGGGGGGCTAAATAGTTGGAACCAGTTGTTGCCTCGGTCAGGTAGGCTTGGTGGCCGCAGCAACTCGCCGGTGGAGTAGGGGGGGGGGCGACAGGAAGATAGATCTGATTTTTGAGTTTTTGAGAGAGATAGGTTTTAGAAAGCGGCGGATCTTTTGGTATCAGAGAGTGTCCAAGTAAAACAAGAGCTAAACGAGAAAAAATGGGTCTCTATTAATCAATTAGGATTTGTTTTATTTTTTGATTTGTTTTATATTAAAAAATAAGACAAATTTTACGTGGTTCAATAATTGACATATCCCACATGAAAAGGAGCCGCCGCCGTCCAATCCAATCCCGTACAAACTGGCAAAATTGATACTCCCTCCTATTTTTAATATTTGTCATTCTAGCTTAATTAATCATTTGTTAAATAAATGTCGTTTTAGTTATTTTGTTCATATTTTTCCCTTTTAACCCCTCCATCAATACCAATTGTCTCTTCATATTCCCAAGAACATCTATCCACAATAATGTCATTAAATAGGGTTAAACTTGAAAAGAAAAATATTTCTTAATTAGTGTGTTGATAGCCGACAAATATTTAAAACAGGAGGGAGTACTGTTTATTAATCTCCCAAATCCAATAGTACATTTCCCTTAAAATGGACAACGCCGACCCGTCATCCGTTGAACTGAGGTCCGGTTTTTGCCCCAAAACCAACACCTTCTACAGCCTCCGCCCACCCGTTCACCTTCCGTCGGAAAAAGCTCCACTCTCCGCCGCCGATCATGCCTTTTTCCTTCACTCCGCTACCTCCGCGTGCCTCGACGCCGCTGCACTCATCGACGCCGCCACCGGCAACCGCACTTCCTACTCCCAATTCCGCCTCCGCGTCGAGGCACTGTCCGTCTCCCTACGATCGGAAGTTGGCCTCTCCCCGAACGACGTCGCATTCGTCATCTCACCTAATTCCACACGCGTCCCTATCCTCTACTTCGCGCTACTCTCCATCGGCGTCGTCATCTCACCGTCCAATCCAATCAGCACGACCGCCGAAATCGCGCGCCAGCTGCAGATCTCGAAGCCGACGATCGCGTTCGCCACGTCATCTACCTCCGGGAAGCTCGCCGCCCACCGATTGCGAACGATTCTCATCGACTCGGCGGATTTCGCGCGAATGATGTCGAGTGGGAGTCCCGCCGGCGAAACCAGCGGCGTGCGGGTGAGCCAGAACGACGTCGCGGCCATACTCTTCTCGTCCGGCACGACCGGGCAGGCGAAAGGGGTGGAGTTAACGCACCGCAATTTCATCGCGGTCACGGCCAATTACTTCTACCAAAGGCAGGAGAAATCGTCTCCGTCGGTGGTGCTTTACACGGTGCCGTTGTTCCATGTGTTTGGGTTTAATTACTTGTTGAAATCGATGGCCCTGGGCGAAACGGTGGTGGTGGTGATGGGGAGGTTTGATTTGGGGAAAATGCTGAGGGCGGTGGAGGAGCACAAGGTGACGTTGCTGGTGGTGGCCCCGCCGGTCGTGGTGGGGATGGTGAAGAGTGATTTGACTCGGAAATTTGACCTGCAATCGCTGGAGGCTGTGGGCTCCGGCGCCGCCCCACTTGGCTTAGATCTGATTGAAGCTTTTAATAAGAAATTTCCGAAGGTTTCTCTGTTCCAGGTTTGTCAATATAACGTACTTTTGATTTTGTGTGCGTATATACTTTTGGTTGCTAGATGCTATTCAATAATTTAGCATAATTAGAAAATTCTTAATTATTTTTCAATGCTATGAAAACTCTAATATTGCATAACGCATTCACTAGGAAATAGTTGGATTTAATTTTAATTAACAAATGAATCAATGTGTTTAATTTAATCCCATAGTCATAGATTTTCGAATTCGTGTCTAGCAATCCAAATGCAACTTGTCAAACACTCCTGAAATTGTAAAGCATAAATATATATGTTGTGTTTTTGTTTACATTCATCTTCTTTCATTGGGGAACCTTGTATATACATTTTTTTTTTTTTTTTTNCTTTTTTTTTTTTTTTTTGGCGCCAGAGAAAAATTATGAATTGTGTGAACTAACTGGTTTGGTAAACGAATGAAAGGGTTATGGGATGACAGAAACGAACGGTGCAGTATCCAGACCAGTTGGTGATGATGAATATGCTCGATTGGGTTCAGTTGGAAAGTTGATCGGGACTATTGAAGCCAAAATCGTTGATCTGGATACAGGTGTTGGCCTGCCTCCAGGCAAGCTGGGGGAATTATGGATAAGAGGACCAACCGTAATGAAAGGTAAATTAACTTCTTTACCTTGTAATAAGATAGAAAACTTCACTATGAAGTAGTAAAATGTGCAGTATGATAAGTTTGTTCAATGATTAAGTCAAATAAAGCAAAATTCTTGAGCTTTGTGGCGACAACTTTGTAGGATATGTGGACAATCACAAGGCGAATTCTGAAACCTTGGTGGGAGATGGGTGGTTGAGAACTGGTGACATTTGCCATATCAATGATGAGGGCTTCCTTTTTGTGATTGATAGAGTGAAGGAGTTAATCAAATACAAAGGATATCAGGTTTAACAGAAATTCTATGGAGTCATCGAATGGTTTTCTTATGGAGTCATCCATCACTTAATGTATTGACACCTGTCTAAAATGTATTTATTGTAAGACATGTGTCAGTTCACTATTTGTTAATAAATGTGGATGACTCCATAAGTCGTGTCATCCAATGGCTCCATAGCAAAACTGTCAGGTTTAATTAAACCTCCTCAGTTCTTTGTTTTGTTTCTAATTTTAAAGTGTAAATCTTTGGATGTAAAAACCTAACTAAAAGGAACCTCTCTTATCTATCAAAATTAAAAACAACCCTTCAAATTGTCGTGAAAAAACCTTATTCCTTTGGTAAATCAGAAGCTGATTTATATGATCTTGGAAGATAACAGGTCATTTTCTACTCATAAACAGCGGCAATTAAATGTTCGATTATGGACTTTGTTACTTTTAATAGGTTTCTCCTGCTGAGCTGGAACATCTGCTCCTCTCTCATCCTGATATTATGGATGCTGCTGTTATACCGTAAGCTATTTTGAGATTCGAAATTTTTAGCCCTTTATATAATTTCGTCTCCAAAGCATACTTTCATGATTGAAACACTCGCAGATACCCTGATGAAGATGCTGGTCAAGTGCCCTTAGCCTTTGTAGTTCGTCGCCCCAAAAGCAACCTTGATGAGCAACAAATTATTGACTTTATTGGAAAACAGGTGAGTAGTTTTCTCCCTCATTTGTCTAAAGTTGTTGGAATCCTCCATACAAGATTGTCATTGTGTGATGTCTAATATTCTGTACTTGTACAGGTTTCCCCATACAAGAAACTAAGACGTGTGGCATTTATCAGCTCTATACCGAAAAGTGCATCCGGGAAGATATTGAGAAAAGAATTACGGGAAAATTCATTGACTCGGTCTAAGATTTAACAAAGAGATGTTACTTTATCCAGCTCCCTTAGGGCATGTTTGTTTGCCAAGATAGAATTAGATTAATTTAATTTGGAGAGGTAAGATTGTACTGTTTAGACTAAAATGGTTTTATGAGAATAAATTTGGTCTTGCATTTGTTGGGTATGACTAGACATGTGATACAATCATAAATGTACATTTTTACCCTTACATTCATTTAGCAATTTAGCAAAACAATGAAATAAAAAATAATCAGCAAATCGTGAAAGAATGTGTACATCTTCATAAGCCTAAGCCTCAATCTGTAATCAGATTCACCGTTGGTTATAAAAAAATTCCCCAAATAAAAAAACAAAATTTGCCCCTAATTTCAATTCCCAAATCAAGAAACCCCAAATCTTCATAAATTGAAAACCTTCTCGCATTCCTCAAACCCATTCACCAATTTTGCATCACGTCTCCGCCATCACCTCCAAGAACAACACCGCCCGGTACACGGTGATGGCGCTCACGATGTCGGCCAAGACGCTCCTCCTCAGCCTATTCGCGTCCACCACCACGGCCACCAACTCATCCATCTCCTCTCGCCGTCGACGGGATACGAGTTTGCGCGGGTGGAACCACTTGCTAGATTTGGAGACCTCAACGAGATACCCATAATTTGGAATAATTTTTAATCAACAATTTGATGTTTGAGATTCAATTTACATGGGCACAGTGATTTACAATGTAGAAAGAGAAGTCTGGAAAACTTTGTGCGATTTAATGCCTTTTTTGAAGGTAAATTTGAAGAGTTGTAAGGGTAATTGAGGAAAATTATTTACTTTATGGGGGTAATTTGGTAGTTTGGTCATATAAATACTGTACAGATGAAAAGTAATCTCACCCTTGAACCGAGATCAAATATTCGGCAATACTCAAGATAATTCCATTTGGGTCGCGGGCCTCATCTAGTCGGGCGGGCCGCAGTCATGGAAAACAAATGTAAGACTAAGCCCAGATTAAGCCCATAATCTTGTCTAATCTTCCCAATCAAACATAGCCTTAGTTATTTCATGTCTCAGTAACCAGTACAGTACAGTAGAATGCTTTTACAGAAAACTAATCATTTATCGGCGTGAATTTCTCGTTTGCAACTGTATAAACGGGTTGTTGATAATCATAGAAAACTAGTTTAGATTTTTGGCTATAATCACCCTAAATACTGCACATATATAACCAGATTGTACCCGTATAATATTTGCCAGTCATATACAAACCTCAAGAATAATTAATTACGCAGTTCTGTAATCATCCCTCAGTACATAACAGAACCAACATATTCCCGCTTCAATATATGTCCCAAAGGGTACAACCGCAGAATTATACTTGTACAACACGCCAAAAATTCCACAAAAACCCTATCCTAAATCAAATCCTCAAACTCCCTCTGACTGACCAACAACAATTACAANTTACTCTTCCCATCATCTCCTTCGTTTTCCTTACTCTCCCCATCATCATCCTTCTCCTTCCCTTCCTCTTCCTCTTCCTCTTCCTTTTCCTCCTCATCAGATTCCGGAACCTTCTTACGTGGCCGAGCTGCCTTAAGCAAAGCTATACGCTCCATTGAGATTCGGAGCCTCTCGGCTGCAGCCTCCTTAACCTCTTCCTCGGGCATGTACTCGATGCTGCCATCCGTGAGGTCGTCCATCCAGCCTTGTAAGTCGGACCCAATCTCTTTGGTGATGGATGGGTCGGAAGCCCGAACCACGAATTTGCAGATCATGGTTGTGGTCTCATCCCCAAGGTCAACATTTCGGCTGACCTCACTAGCGCCGAATATCATCATCCCCAGAAAGCCCCCGTACCAAGTCTTAGCAGCATAGCATAGCTGGTTTAATAAGGGCAAAAAAAAAAAAAAGAGTTGTTCGTTGTTGAGATGTATTTGAGATAAAAAAAGGTTAAAAAATGTAAAAATTGAACCATGCAGAAACTTTCAAATTTTATGGTATTAATATATTATTTATTATTTTCTTTTTGGAAGTTCTGATGTAGAGGAAGGCAGGCCCTACTGGATTTGTTTTCTAGCCTGAATAATTCCGTACGTGTCCTAAGACATGCGCGTGAAGGAATCATCTAAGTCAAGCCAAAAAAGATGGTTTAGACGATGTATTCAATTGGCATTTTAAGTGACATTTTGAGACTTCAGATTTTGGAGGAATTATGTAAAATCTTAAGTTTAGAGGTGGGATTTGAAGTGAGATTTCGTATAAGGTTTTTTGTTTAGAAATCCCACCAAATCTTAATAAGTCTTAACAAATCCTAGTCTCAAACAAGTTACATATCTCATGATTTTGTAAAACTTTAAAATCTCAACTGAATACTCCAAGACTTTTACAAGTTCTAAAAAGTCTTGACAAAACTAAATTGAATACACCAGGGTTTCTAAAGTCAAAAGGTCCTTAGAAATCCCAATTGAATACACAAGACTAGTTTCCTACTTCTACAAGACTAGCCGAGGATCAAAATCCTACTCTGTGTCAGAAGGCTACATTATGGTATTGAAAAGTAATAACCATGTTTTGATACCCAAAAAAGTGAAAAAAATGACGAAAAATATGAACTCAAAATATCTATGATTTCTCCATTTTGAAAAGGATTTAAATCTAAGACAAAATAAAAAAAGTGAATGTAAAGTAGTAGTATCAGCAATGGTGGTAATTAATGTAAAACCACCTGAAATCCAGCAACTGTCCGGATAATATGCGAGCAGACTTTGTGGAAAGGTTTCGAAGACAGGGATTTGAGGCCACTGAGGAAAGGAGACTCCCCATACTGCTGGGCTGCTGTGGCCTTAAACCCACTGCCTTCATATGTGTATGTACCGGTGCACTCCACTATAGCAGGTAAACTGGGCCACAGACGGAAATACTCAACAGGTGATATCTTGTGGGGCAAGAGAAGTTCGGTGAGAGGAACTTTGTATGGCTGGCATCTCAAAATCACAGGGTCAGCCCTACTTTTCTTTTGCCTTATGACCTGAGCATCTTCCTCTGGATATTCCCCTTCATAATCATCTGGAGCACCACTAACATGAAACGGGTGGTAAAGAACTTGGACCCAAAGGGCACACCGCTCGAAATGGGAAACACCAACTGTCACACTGCACGGAATTGGTTCCTGGATATATATATAAATCCGAGCATGATAAGTGTATTGAATAATTGCAGAGAATAATCGTGAAAAGAAATGAAGGGGAAAAAACGTTGAAAAGGGTGATATAAATGATGCTTTTTTTTTAGGCCGATTAGAATTATGCTAAGTCATGCCAATTTATCCTGAATCTCACAAATCCCACAATGTGACCAATATGGAAAGAAAAAAGAAGTCGTGATTCGAATGTGAAAGTCTAAAGCAATGCAAAGAAGTCATCCATGAACACCTCATTCTACTCCATTTAACAAAGAAACTAGCGAAAAAAAAGTATTGTAAACATAATTGCATAGAAATTGGAGGATTGAACTATATAAGGTGAAATTTTATCAATTGCGGCTACAAAGAAAGTAGCATGCCAAGTTACCTGTGAATTAAGATCACGCAACTGGCGCACTGCTTGAGGTGACCCATCCATGAAGTATAACCCACCAGATAAACCAACTCGGATGTCCACTCGATTTAATTCAATCTCTGTAAGATTCAAAACCTGCAATAGTTAACCCATTTGATCAGATTCAATACATTCAAAGCGTGCTATAATGTGGACATGGAAAAATCTACAAGCATTTGCCCGATTTAAGGGAGATCAGGATATGGGTGTGTCAAGAACAAGTTTGTTGCCACTTTATACTAACAAATGAGGGTGGATAATACAAAAGAGAATGGCGAGCAAAGGATGTGATGCTGATCTACAATTATTTGCCAAAATAAAAGGAGATAGTGGATAGAATGCAATGACTAGCAACCATAGTTGCTTTCTTTGCTTCGAAAGTGGAACAATTTACATTTGTCGTTAAAAAATTCGAATCCTTTGTTTTGGGAACCACCATGACAATATAAATTGAAGGTCAAAAGGTTGCATTTTTGGATTCACGCGTGGTACTGACCACCTGTGGTTTACTAGGATATTTAACAATCATCATTTGGAAAACCGCTTATAGCAAATTACCTTACTTGGGAGGGTGCAAGCTGCACTAGTCAACATAAGAGATACTGACCTCAGCCAAAATCAAGATGCTAAATTTGAGCATGTAATGATTCAATGGAAATTTATAGCCAAAACACGAGCTGTCCAACATTAAGTTGTTCAATTAGAGCCCTACTCGGTGCATTACCATGGATAGCTACAAACAGGTTACCTTCAAATGCAGAGTAATCCTTCCATCATTTGGATCGGTCAAGTGATACCCTTCAACATAGCAAGGATCACTACTACCACTCAAAGTCAATGCACTTGGAGGGATCTTGATCAAACTTGAGTCAACCCCTTTCGTCAACAATTGAGTTAATTCATTGGGATCTGGTCTCCACAGTTCCAAGATTGCTTTATGAATCAACCCTTCTAGTTTTCGGTCCTGAGCAGCAGATGCATCATAGAACTGAACTGTTAGCTTGTGGTGGCTAAATGGGTAGTCTCCGGTGGTCTCACTAACCCCAGCCCATCTAATAATGAAAAGAGAGCAACGTCATGTAACTGAAGCAGCAGAAAAAAATAACAAGCCCAGTAGATAAATTTTATACTGCAAGCCATTGCTTTAAGTCATGCTTTACTGACAACAGAACATGTTTTTGGTTCTACAATGATGGTGCTTTCACAAGTCACTGAAAATTTAAAGCACGGAAACCAATTAACCTAAACAACGAGAAAGTTCCTCATACTGACTCAGATAGATTTTATAGTGAGAAAGTCTACTTCAGACCATTAAATTAGCAGGTTTCAGGATACAAGGATCATGCAGTGTAAATAAGTAACCTTATCAGTCCAGCCCACCTACCATGGATTGCTCTAAATTATACAAACCATAGGTTTATACACAATTTCGGTACTATTCAGTGTAAGACTTAAAGGGATTGGGCAAGACAAATTGCATTCATGTGCTCTGTAGCTAAGTCTCAGACGAAGAAAGGAAAAACATCCTGTTATTTTTCTCTGCATTTGTAAATTAATATGTAGCTTTAGAGCACCACATATGAATGCCATGATGTATCGATGCCATATGGGCATGTATGAGAGGACATAATGTATTCACGTGCTCTATATTATCAGATGAAATATACGGGAAGAACCATGATAAAATAATGTCCAGTTATTTTTCTTCACTTCTACAGAAATATTTAGTTTTAGAGCACCAAATAAATACATAGATGTAAAATGCCCATGAATCAAAATCCTTACACACCACACACTTATGTTTCNTAAGAACAATTAAATGTGAATGCACAAAAAAATTATTTGTTTGCAGTTTAGCAGTTTCAGAGCAGCAAACTATTGTAACCAAATCAATGCATTTTATTCATTGCTCAATTCTATTCCGTGTGTAGGATATAATTCTCACTTATCATCTGGATGACTAGCAACATATTTAATTCTCTGTAGTATTAAACGGCTCTGGTGTTTGTTGACTGAATCAGCAGAGGGATTGCTCCTAAATTCTTCAAGCTCTTTAATCAGCAACTGCCCAGCCCTAGCATTACGTGATCCCAGCCGTTGTGCGCATAAAAGAACTGCTTGAACATCTTGAAGCCTATTTGTAGTGTTAGCGGCTGAGTCAATGTTGAATAGAACTTTATGGATATTTGATATAATTATATTTAACGGATCATCAGGGTCATCAGCAAGAAGGGGGTCCAACCCCTCCAAATTAATGTGCTCTGAAATAGCCCAGAGAAGACGGGCACTAATTCTAGGGGTGCTAACCTGCAAAATAAAAATTGAACTTTAATGTGTATACATTAAGAAATGTTAATAAAAAGTAGTTCCTTTTCTAAGCCATAACCAACCTAGGGAACTTGCAAGATGTCAAACACAGACAGCCATATCTATAACTATGGATGGCTACACAAATACCTCTTAAAATACCAATTAAGTAAATGAAACATTTAATACTGTTTCATGGTACAATTCTAGTGTTCAGGCTCTCAAAAGGGAAAAGAAGAATGACAAATTACAACAAACCTCGAGAAGATCCTTGACAAGTTCCCGCTGAAGATTTTGCAATCTTGTTTCGTTCAATATCTGATCTTGAGAAGCCCCGTCTTTAACTCTTTTGACACCCCCTCGTGTATCATAAATGTGGCAAAGTCTAACAAGCAACTTCAGATAACAATCAATGGCATATGTCCGACCTTCACAATCCCATTTAACACATGGTCTACACACTTCCACCACTTCCAACGCTGGTTCTGTCCAATTCAAAGCACCATAACCGGTGCCATAGGCTAAGGCTCCAATCACCCTGCTTTCCATACCTGAACTCTTCTGTTCAGGCAACGGCAAGGACAACTGAAAACAGCTCTCCACCAACATTGCCACTAATTCTTCTCTAAACAAGCTCTTACTGGTGACACTGTTGAGGTCATCCTTTATTCTCGCATCTTCAAATAGGGAAGCTATATCAGTACCTGAAACTGGCTTTTGACCTCGACGAACACTCTCCTTCGAGAAAAGATCAACACAGAGAGCAGTTCGACAGATGCACGCCAAAGCATGCATTCGGTCTGATTCCGCCCTCAAGTTCCTCACCATATGAAGCAGCTTTTTAAACAATGACACCTACAACATTGAACACAAGCCACATAAAAAATGGTGTCTATCGCAACTTCAGATCAATATGTCTTACAGGGACAAAATATTGAAACATGAAATCTGAAAACTTATTCATAACGGAAGCACGAAAAGAATGTTGCGTCGTAAAGCAAATGGTTTGTATCTCAATTCATCAAATCAAGTTGATTAGGGATTAAAGATTAGATCGCTTCCCTGAAAGAAGACCCTCTTTAAAATTTACTGGCTTCTCAATGTTCCAAAACCTGTATTCGGAATGTGTGTTATCTGACTAAGGGTCAAGGCCGGGAAGGAAAGATTAGTCCTTTCTATTCGATCTAAGGTTGAACGTAGTTGAAAATTAACATTTGGAAACACCGCCTAACTTGAAATAAAGAAATGCATAAAGCATGAATAAATTAATATAAATAAGAGGGCATAAGTTTTTCATCTTAAGCCTTTCAGGTCTTATATGAAGTGGTTCTTCCATAAGAAATAAAGTGTGAGCTAAGATGTACTTCACTTCCACACTGGATGATAATCTAATTGTTATGATCAAAGTGGAACATATTCTGTCACTTTAACTTGTATACAAAAACATGGAAATATTTAAGTCTACAACTTGCTTGGGACTAAAGGCTATGTTGTTGTTGTTGTTGTATTTAAGTCTACAACAGTCATCAAAACCAATGCTTGTGCAACAGAATATTCTCAAAGAACAACTTGTTTGTGTTACTTCACAAGAAAATAATTGTAAGTAGCCATCAAATAAAATATACCAATCAAGTTCTCAAGGACATAAATTCACAACACACCTGCATACTAAGGTCAAGGAGATGCAGATTAGTAACAACAGCTCTGACTATGCTCTCACGTGCAGAAGAATATTCCTGTCTATCCCAAAGTGTGAGAACTGCTATAATGGATATAGAGGCCCACTCAGGCTTCCCTCCGGGAACATCGGCCAAGTATAGCATATTAATCCCCACTTCAAATATCAGAGCAGGGTCCAATGAAGACACCAGAAATGGAGCTAAATGTGACACCACATCGGACACTCCTACAAAGCTCTCAGTATTACTGATATCAGTCGCCGTATTATTTCTACTATTTGTGGACCACGATAGCTTCTTGATTGACTCTATTGAACCTGAAGCCATTGCCTTAACTGCATAAACCAACGGGAAAATTGTAGCTCTAAAACTTTCTACGGGTAGAATTAATGACCGCGACATCAATGCATTTCGCTTCTTCCAAACAAAATCAACCATTGATGAAACCCATTTTGATCGGACTGCAACTGAGTTCTCAGTATCGATTAACTTGTCCCCAGCTAGCCGACTCATCCTTTTCGTTTCAAATTCCTGAAAAAGTTTGCCTATGGATTCAAATGCGACCGTCGAAACTGCATCGGATTTATCAAGCATGTTATGAGCGATACGGGTCCACCAATTGGAGATACGATCGAGCAAGTTGATGTTGTTTTCGCACAATGTCACGAGATCGTCTCGCGCAAGGATGCAGCCTAGGGTTTCGGTTATCGAGAACCGGAGATTATCACTAACCGAATCGAAGCAGGCGGAGATTTCTTTGTTGCAGTCATTAATGAGTTTGCCAAGGCGGTAGGAGGGAATGGCGGCCAGGATTGATATGGCAGCCGCAGTGACGTCAGGATCCGGGAAATCGAGATCGTTACGGATGCCTGTGCACACGGTTTCCCACAGATCAGCCGTGAGGCGGGTCGAGCGGATGAGGTCGAAGGCGAGTTTCTTTGAGACGGCGGAAGCCGGGGAAGCAACTATCTCCTCAACGGCGGATTTCGCGATGACGGAGATATCCCGTCCGGCGGCGGATTGTTGCAGCGCCTGCAGTAATGCGCCGGATTGCCGGAGCGCGTCGTTGGACCGGAGATCCGCTTGGATCTGAGCAAACAGTATGTCCATTTATGAGTTTCGTCTAACGGAGAAACTGAAATCCGGAGCTTGAATCAACAGGAAACGAATCTCAGCCGGAATTTTTGCGGAAGATGGATCGTCAGCTCATATTTTCAGTGGAATTGCCAGAAATTTTCGCGGCGACTACTGTATTTCAGACAGTTATTCGGTGCCGGAGAACTGTACCGGTGGTTCGATCTACGGTGACCTGAATGCTTAAATAAAAATGTTGCAAGAATGACGATATAGTTCATCAACCTTTATCCCGCTTTTATTACAGAAAACATACAAGTCGCTACTTTCTATTGGCATTCTAAAATCGTAGTTAGTTGGTTCCTTGTGTACGGACCGAGACTTCAACTATTACCGGAAAAATGTTACCTCGAAAATAAAATTGAGAAATGCATGTAGATAAGTGTTATTTACACTTCTGTGTATTTCAATAAAATTTTAACATTAAAATTAACAGTCCAAGGTATTGAACCGTTAATGGTTGGAATAGGCTTTTGTTGGGAAAGGTTGGGAACGTGCAATAATGGTTGGACTCTTATGTGTGATGCGGTTGTTCGGGATACAAGAATAGGCTTAGGAGGATGGATTCGGGATTCGGAGGATCTTGTTATGCTGCTTTTACTATGTATATCCATTGCACGTTTTCTCTTTTATTTGCGGAAGCTTTGGCTATTCATTACGGCCTTCGGTTTGCTTGGGATTCAAATTTCAAAATTCAAGCGGTTCTAACAGACTCTTTAGGTGTTGTTGGAGGAATCCTTCAAATGGAAGAATTCGACCCCCTCTTTGAGGTTTTTTCAAACATTAGGAAGCTACAATCACTTCTGGATTGTGGATTGCAGTAAGTGTGAACGCACCCCCCAGTGAAGAACTAGGTGGCCCGTAAAATTGCGAATTGGGCGATAGTGTCACATTCTTCTTGCTTTTAGAAGACTCTTCTTTTTGTATTTTCATCTTTCTTCATGGATGTATTGAACTCTTAATTTGCTTGAATGCAAAGTTTTTATTTCAAAAAAAAAAAGTCCAATGTATTCAGCTCGATCGATTATAATTACTTACAAAGACTTCCCGCATACTCTCACGAATAACTTCGAAAAAATTCCCCCAACAAGTATCCAAAGTATGTTTGAGGTGTTTAAATCTTATTTCTTTATATATTATTTGGACTACTCATTATGTGAATTCATTTTGTTTTGAAGTTTGTGGGTGTTTAGTTATCTTTGTAAGATTTAGTTGTTTTGGATTCAATTCCTCTTAGAGAATCTTCACTAGATGATGCATTATTTTTTGTGGCAAATAAACGGACAATGTTTATAACAACGCACTTGATTATACTCAAAATTTACCACCCTGAATTAAATCCACTAAATCAAGCCACAACATGGACGATATCCCCGAAGCCAAGGTACTAAGAAGTATTTCGGTCAAGACAAAGGACGTCGACCTCATTCCAAGATACGAAGTAATCACGCCGACATCTGTCAAAAGCAAGACCTCTTCCTTGTCAATCTCAGCCCAACACTAATGTGAAAGGATTGCCGCCCAAAACAGGTTTCCACCGCCACAAAGGGTAAGCCATTTGCCCAAGTAGGGCAAGTTGCTTGGACACGTGTCGTCATACATGTTGATAGCCTTTCAGAAGCTGCCACACGTCCCGAACGTATTGTATTTTAAGAGATTTTCCTTTCTATAAATAGACGAATCAGAAAGTAACTGAGTGATCAAACGTGTACCGTTGTGTTACCCCATGGAGTGATCAATGTTTCTGAGAAGCATAACTGGAGTGTCGACCTTCAAGTAAAATTTATAATTGGAAAGTCCCGAGCACTTAATCCCATCGAGAAATTAAGGAGTATGAAGATCTTGAAGAGAGCCATATCCAACGTCTGTCAGAACTCAAATTAAGTCTTTCCTTTGGATGAGTTCAATGAGCTCATATACTCGTTAACGGACTCAACGACATCAACTGTCGGAGCGAGTATGACTCTGTCCTTGAGATAGCTAAGATCGTCACCTGAACTCTTGAACATCGGGTAGGTACTCTCAACAATAATAGCAATAGGATCCCCTTGTGATCTTAGAAGAATGTCGTCATGAATGTTGATATCGGCATTACGGTCGTTCGATCCACCGATTGTGCCGTCTCCAATGCTATCAAGCCACTCCGAGAAGCACCTCATCTCATCGTACTTATCAACCCCCCAAGGTTTCTAAGCTTCATATTCCGAGTCAATCTCAGAACGATACAATCGCACCACAACTTGGATGAATTGGTGGTCGCATTGACTATGTCACTTCAACTACCTTTAGGGACAACAGAGGGTATTTGTCTGAAATCGCCACCAAACACAGCATATTTGCCACCAAATGGGAGATTTTTTCTCGATGAATCAATTGCTTCCATTAAGGCTCGTAAGGTGTTGTCAACAGTCTAGACGCAATACTTATTCATTATCGGAGTTTGATCCCAAATGATCAACCGACATCGTATAATAAGTTCAACGAAAGAACTCCGCTGGCTAATGTCACATGTAGACCCTTTCGTTTGGGTTTAGTGAGATTTTGAATCGAGAATGCGCAATGCGTCCGTCAGTCAGCAAAAGTGATGCGATACCGCTCGATGCAATGTTCAACAGGATTTCGCCTCTAGATCTCAAAGCAGAAGACAACGCCTTTCAGACATACGTTTTACCGGTGCCGTCGTAACCAAACAAAAAATATACGATCATGGTTACGATAAACAGAGTCCATTATCGAGCCATAAACATTGCGCTGCTCTTCAATCATACTGGTAACCATTGCGTTTTATCATATGCATAAGAGAGCATTGATGGATCACAAGTTTTTGTTAAGGAGAATCATCTCCATATAAAAAAAAAATTATAATAATTAATATTTTTATTTTACAAATGCAACACTCAAATTTTAATATTATTTACTATGCGATTGATTTAATTTATATTAAATATTTTAAATTTATTTTCATACGTCAACATTTTCATACATACATCTAATTAACTTATTCGAACTAAGCAATTGTGTTCATTTAGCAAACGAATCGACGTAGCTTAACTCAGTATAATAGACAAAAAAAAAAAAATGTGAGCTCTAATTCTCTTATAAACTTGGGTTGATTCGTTTTAATTTGAAACCTAAACCAAAATTCGAAACTCAAACAATGTTGATCGTAAACATGCTCGACTCGATTTCTTTGATAGACAAGTTCAATTTGTTATTGGAGCTTGACAAGTCAAACCAAACTATGTTTGTAAACAACGCGATTCGAATAAAAGTTGTAAAAAAAATTCTGGCTACGCTCCTGATAGCCAACTAAAATGATAGACCAGCGAAGGAATCTCATCTTCAAACAAATTCAAAAATTACAACTTTGAAAAACAACATTCTCCAGATTGTTATTCGAAGTCGTCTCTAGCAAGCCCATGACTTTATCAAGTGCTACATTCAACAGCATACATGCCATATTTATATCATATATAAAGCTCATGGCTATCTTGGAAACGTATTACAATCATGCTTCGAGTTCTGGTTCGACTTCTTTCCTCTTTCTACCTTTCCTCATGTTCGAGTTACCCTGTTCTTGTAGTTCAGCTTTCTTTTGGGCACGGATAATGGCCCGTCTAGCACGTGGCCGCATTTCACGCACTTGTCTTGCAGGCATCACATAAGGTTCGAGAGGCTTATCACCAAAAGGGTGCTCGTCCCCAGAAAATATCCTCAGCTTTCTGTCTCTATCCTAAATTACAAAGGCCGTCATCAGAAGCTAAACCAAGCAAATGAAAGAATTAAACAGCTGGGTGGTGAGCCTAATGTAACCATTGTAGAACACTAGGTCGTGTACTCTAGCACCAATAAGACAACTCAGTGACTAACACAAAAGCTTTGCCAATCGCATTTAAATGCAGCTTTTATTCTCAGAAACAAATTTCAATATAATTGAAAAACTACCCATGGCGGTTTGAACTTATAAGGAAACACAAGGGATAGAACTACCAGAAGTCACAAGTACTTTCTGCTGTAAGTGAGAAATGCAGGATCATTATAGCTCAAACAAGTGAGCCATAGACAACCAAAATGTTCATTTTTTCAAAGATATGAATTACAACAGTTCCAGCTTCCCTTCAAAGGAGTTAACATTGATTTACTTGCAAACCAGCCAAATAAGAGTATATCCAATTAACCTCAGACAAGCCCCAATTCCCTCACATCAGAAACAGAAAATTGAACTGATTCACCCGGACAAAATTCACAGAAGTTAACAAAATGATGTCAATGAGAAAAAAAAATAAAGAATGCATGAATTCATTGAGACATCAATCAGAATAGACTCACATCACGTAATTTGTTCCTAGGGAGCATCCGTAGGACAGCTTTGCGTATAACCTCTGTGGGATCTTTGGCCATTTGGTCTTTCAAAGTCCTCTCCTTCAGGTGGCCTATATACCTGTGGGATCCACATTCCACAACGTCACAAAACATCAGAACACGCAAAAAATCATTCCATGCCAGAAAAAAAGAAGTCCCTCAAAGCAAAACTTACCCTGTATGCCATTGGTAAACCTTATCTGTCATTTTCCTTCCTGTGACACACACATCTTTTGCATTAATAATAATGCACATGTCCCCCTCATCACGATTGGGCGCGTATGTCGGTTTGTCCTTTCCCTGAACCACAGTTGATATTTGCGATGCGAGCCTTCCCAAGACCTATGTCAAAAGCAAAAATTTTATCATGCGTAGCTCAAACTAGGAATTTATACACCAATTACTGAATGTATGTTGTATCTGGACCTGTCCCTTTGCATCAAATACTCTCCATCTCAAGCCTTCTAAATTGATTCGTCTCAGTCCAGCAAGTGCTTTCTGTGAGATATTAGTGATTGTCTGGTTAGAAGGGATTTGTGCAAGATGGAGAGATCAATAACGAATAAAAAATAAATCTACACGAGCAATACTATAGACCTATAGACCAGGATGGGGCCTGGAAAAATTGAAATTTTTTGCTGCTATCTAAAACCAATCGAAAAAAAATAAACTAAAAAAGAAAAAATGCAGAATCTGATCCTCAAGAAAACTATAAAACCCCGGGAAAGAATAGAGTGACTAGTTAACCGGAGTTCGTTTGATTCAGATCTCGAAAGCAGAGGAGAGGTTTATGAAATACCCATCAAATATACTTATTACTAAAGCACCACAGGTTTCCTCGTCTAAAAACAATGAGAAACAGCATTTTCTCCACTTCACCATCAGAAAATTACGCTTGAGTCTTGACTATTGATTTCAGAGAGGAAGGAGAAAAAATATCGCAGTAAATATCACAAACACTTGGCAAGCATCCAGTAGCTTACAAACAATTCAAACATCCATATGACTTAAATAAGGACAAAAAAGAGAAAGGACACCTACCTTGAGGTTGCCATTGAAAGCTTGAGCTGCTGTTGACATGTTAATTCGTTTCCCGGTGACACAGCGAGGAAGTTGCAAGCAAAAGAGTCGAATTTCTGTGGATTTAGGTTTGTTAAAACCCTTGAAGAGAGGGTGTATTTTAGCATTTGGGATGATATGCCTGTCATAATAGATTGAGCTCAAATTACTCGGCCTCTAATATGGCCCAAATAGGGTGGAGTTTGAGATGATTGGCCTGTCATTTAATATATTGGGCTCAAATTACTTGGCCTCAAATATGGCCCAAATAGAGTGGAGCACAAAAATGTTGTCAAGGAAGCCCAAAAGAAAGAGCACCGAGGAAAATAAAGAAAGATCACCGAGGAAAATAAAAACGCCCACCGTGGGGCTCGAACCCACGACCACAAGGTTAAGAGCCTTGCGCTCTACCGACTGAGCTAGACGGGCGACTTGAAAATGTTGGCCAACATATTTTTAATAAAAGGTAACAATTACAAGAACATCCAAATGCAGGGGGCCGTCAATGCCATCGTCGTCAAACATTGACACGTCTTCGATGGGAATGGTAGATGCTCAT